CTTGGCGTTCATGGAAGACAAGTATTTCCTATGAGCGAAGTCAGAAAAAGGTGATTTGACTTCGGGAAAGGGGGTTTCTTACTTCAACTGGTCGGTGTTCCAGGTGTCAAAGGTCCAGGCAGTCCATCCGGTCGCGGCCTTGTGCTTGTTCAGTCTCACCTTGGCAAGAAGCTCATCGCGCTTGCTCGACTGAGGAACAGGAACTCCTCGTGCGTCCAAGTAGGCCTTGAGACGAGAGTCTGACCATGTCTCAACAGCCGCATCGAATGCATCCTGGGCCGTCAAATGGGCTTGATCGGTTGCGCGGGCGTATTGGTTGCCAGCCTTGGACGTAGCAGCGCCGATCATGCTCGTCACGGACTCGGAAGCGGTCTTGGAAGCAACGGAGGCCTGACTCACAAGAGAGGCACGGTGCTTTCTGGCCAAAGCAATAAGCTCATTGCGCTTGGAGCCCTGGGGCACCTTGACGTTGTGCTCATCGAGGAACTTCTTCAAATCGGAGTCAGACCAAGCGTTGAACAAAGCCTCACTCAGGCTCGACTGCGCAGCTTCGGCTGATTTGGTGGCGGAGGCCGCAATGCTTCGCGACTGCAGACTGGCTAGTCTGGCATTGCGACGAACAGACGCGATTAGCTTGTCCCTAGTTGTTGGCTGAGGCACAGGCCAACCACGCTCATCCAGCCACTCCTTCAGATCGGACTCGGACCAGTGCTCGTAAAGCCAATTACCGGGGTAGTGCGCAGTCTCGCCAACTTTTCTCGCGATGGACTCGTAGTTTTCACGAGCAGCCTTGAGAAGCACGTCACGCTTGCGAGGCTGAGGAACAGGAACGCCATGGCGATCGAGGAATGCCTTGAGATGGGAGTCAGACCAACTATGGGCGTGTTAGTAGAGGTTGTTGCAATACTACGTCAAATCAAGACTGCAGCTACTCACGTGTCAAAAATCCATTCTTTGGCATGATGCCACTGGTCAGCGCTATGTTCGGCTGCATGTCCCAGAGGCTTTTGAACTTTCGAGTCCCAATTGGCCTTGACCAAGTTTTCGAGATCTCTTCGGTCGGCAGGGGTGGGGTAAGGGATGTCTGGATCATCGTCAGCCGCGTGTATGCTTGAGGCATCGATGAGAAAGATGCGAACCATGATCGGAGAGCCATCGTTCCAATTCAGTTTCGTGCCATTTGTTATAAGCTAGATTGACATGATTAGCACGAGAGTCCGAGAGAAGGTCAACTGAGATTAAGTGGAAATGGATTGCCTCAAAACACACCTGCTTTGCTGAGCCAGTTGAACGCTCCGACCGCCTGTGTGGTCGCGAGGAAGAACACTAGGCTGGAGCCTAGATTAAGTCTCATCCTGGTGGTACTTCCTCCTATTCACTCCTATATGATCGCAAATCTCGATCCGTATAGATCCTGTGTGGCGATGTTAATAGATTAAGCTCGATGGCGTTGAAGCTCTAGTTGAGGTATGAATCAAGGGGTGTCGCTTACAGGGAAAGACTGGGTGTTTCTCTTGAGGGAAAGAAACGATCAAAATGTCATGTATCTTTCAGGGATATCAAATACTTAAATCATATGAGAATTGAGGTTGGAAGAGTAACTGAGAGCGAGCAGATGTTGGCAATATGATGATGCATTTGAAGTAGATGATAGACGAGTGACGTAGTGCTGCTGGGTGGTGGCCGGTTTCCATGCTTCTGTGGTGCTCAGTACTGGCGTCATCGACAGAGCTTCCTTTGAGCTGATCGCCTGTGGATTACAAGCCTCATTGAGAATCAGATTGTTATTCTTCCACGGCTCTTTGCTTTTTAGGACCCGCTTGGCTTGATAACAACCGGTAAATAACTATACAAAATACAAATTATTTCTAAGATAGAGAGCGGCAGACGTAGATATGCACTAAAAGTCTCAAGTTCTCAACCGCCTAACGGTAATACTACTGATCACAATTAAGCTAGGTACCTTAGGCCGCCAGCTACTGATTTAAGTTAGCGTAGTGGATTGCCTCTCTGTGAAAAGCGGAGACCTCTTGCGATCACCATCTATGTTGATCCGCTGTAAGGAGTCCCCCTTCGTCTGCACCAACAGATATCACAACTATCATGAACTTTTGCTATTGGGATGAGCAAGAAGCACTGAAAATGATTATCTAGCTAGCTGCCTTATCCCAAAGGAAGTCGTCAACTCATTTAGATTTCTGGTCAGCAATGTGCTCTCGATACACTTGATCAGCAAGCTTGCAACTCTCCAAAGATAACATCTAAGGAGTCAAGCCTTACGTTACTCCACATTCGTCTGAACTGCTATATATTCTTCATCCGAACACTTTGAGCCTGCTGCGCTCGCTCAAGAAACATGGACACCACCGATCTCGAATGCAACCATCTCATCTCACCAGACTATAAGAACTTCATCCTGTCTATGTACGATCCCGAAAATGCTGCACTGGCTCCTGTGAGCTTCAAACTAATAAACCCAGTCTGATTATCTTCGGAATTCTCCTGTCGTACCTCCCTCAGCATATTCGCATAATCAACCTCAAAAGCTCCTTCGGGATCTCCCCATACTTCGTCCTTCTGGGAACCACTTCAGGAACCTCGGCGCTCGCAAATGTCGTGACACAACAACAGAGTTTACATGATGTGACATGCTGCAAGAATGTCAACGGACTAGCTTGTTTCGGGGGACTACTCGGCATCTTCCAAGTCGGGACACAGTGGCTCTGCTTTGTTACCATGTAAGCCCACCTACTCTGTGTCCGATGGATAGTGTTCGCGTGGCTCATGCAAGATGGTTTACAGCCTGCTTCTATTCGTCACTTACTTCCCCCGAGCCACCTCTCCAATCTCGCCTACAGAATCAGAATCTTCAGTGAGAGATGGCCCAACATATAGAACAGCCTTGGTCGTCAGCGGCATTTGTATACTCCACGCCCTAGTGATGTTCATCATCACTGTCGCACTCGCAGTCAACCGGCCATCTCAGCTCCAGGCATGGTCCAACTTCTCAGGGGTAATCGCTGCCATCCTCGCTTCGATTCAGTACTTCCCCCAGATCTACACTACTTTGAAGTTGCGGTGTGTGGGTAGTCTGAGCATCCCCATGATGTGCATCCAAACTCCGGGAAGTCTTGTGTGGGCGGGCAGTTTAGCTGCACGACTGGGACCAAAGGGGTGGAGCACATGGGGCGTGTTGATTGTGACGGCATGCTTACAAGGCACACTCTTGGTACTGGCCATCTTTTTTGAATATTTTGGCCCCAACAAGCAGCGCAACCATCGCCATGGCAAAGATCTACCTCCGAACGATACTGGAGAAGGGACAGAGGAAGGAGACCATGAGCAGCCGTCTGAGGAAACACCACTTCTCCAAGGTCAATGATCTATATCCCGCAGAGTCGGCCTAGCTTCCGCCTCAGGAACGGGCAACTGTCGACTCGTTTTGCTTTGGATTTTACCTAGACTGTATCCAGTTCAAATACTGGTCCTCCTCTCCAAGGCTGCTGAGCAGCTCGGACTGCATTTTGTTGGACGAAGGAGAGATTGTATCAGCGAATCAATTTCATGTCTTCTGACATGAAGAGTAGAAGTTTCATCCACTATATTCATTTGACGAATCAAAAATAGAATAAATGCGATTTCGGGTGCAGGAAACATTTGGACAGCCGTTGTGCGGCATCCATTCGAAGGCATGCCTTAGCTTCTCGCGTATTCAATATCGTAATGTGACCGTTTCCCTCCGACCACCAAGTACGTAGTACTTGTCCAGCGCCCCTACGGCCAACCCGCGATCCTTCCCCTACCAATTTCTTTACGCAGGGTAGATGAGTCGGAACATGTCGTTGAAAACGTAGTAGCTCTCACCCTCAGGAAGAAGCTGGAAGGTCTGAGAGTAGCTCATGGGCTTCTGCTCCTCATCGACCTGTTTGACATCAGTGACCACGACCCTACAACAACGAACCAACCGGATAAGGCCTAACGTACCAGCAGACCACCGGTGACCATGACCATGATACCGCCCTGCGTGTTCGAAGGTTGAGCATCGAAGGTCGCGATCTGGTGCTGCACCTTCTGGAAGGGAAGAGACTGTCGCAAGATTAACCCTCTTCTCCATCACCGAAACACACGAGAGGGGAGAACAAACTGTCAGCTTCTCGAGAATGCCGTTGACGCCCTGGACCGAGGAGGTTTCGAAGGTAAGCATCGAGTGGTCACGCTATAGTTTGTCCGTCGTGGTCAGTTTCCGCAGGATAGTCATTTTCGCAGATGGCGACTGTGATGCGGTGATCATACGTAGAGACCTGCTAAGGCCTGACGGTTGGTGTCGAAGGTCTGGTAGTAGAATTGCACGAACTGCTCTGTTGATTTGAGGAGGGGAGGGGTCAGAATCTCCTGGTTGTGTTTGTGCATCGGGAGGCAACAAGGGAATACGTACGAGCAATGTTCTGGAAGTCTAAACATTTGTGATAAGTTAGTCCACATTCTCTCCTAATGTATGCCTTGTAAAGGATTGTGGTCGTGCTTGCGACTGGTCTCAACCGCTGTGGAGGGGTTCAAGGAGGAGGGGCAGCAAAACATCAAGCAAAAAATATAGCCATCAACAAAGACATGACACAATCAGGAAATGTTGCGCGACAAGACTTACCGGCCATTTTGATCAATATACTCTATTCCGAGTGGACAAAACAAAAAAGAGGAACAAGAATGAGATCTTTTGTTAGCCGGAGAAGAGATGCTGGACGGATCGCAAGTTGATATTTGAGCCCGGGAGGGGAGAGGGTGTGGGCCCTGAACTGTGAGGCTTGGAGTGTCTTTTTATTGCCCACCCATGTTCCTGCCTGAACCTCACATAGTACCTACTATTATTACGGCCTTCTCTACGCCGCTAAATGCTGCCTACGAATAGAAATTGCCCAACAATGACACACAATATTTGGCAGGTCTACGAAGATAGTATGAAGTTGACACATCAATGATCGTCAATGCTACATAACCGTACATCACTCCGAGTCGGAATCCGCAAACATGTCCTCTGCCTTCGGTCGCGGTTTTCGAGCATGAGGCCGCGATTCGAGCTGAGATGGCGCTTCAGATTTGTCGGGCACCTCTTCTTTCGGTTCGGTCTCCATGATCGAATCCTCCTCCAGTGGCTCTCCATCTGGTGCTTCTTCTAGGTCGCTGTCTTCCATAGGCTCTCCGTCTATATCACTCATCGGCTCTACATCCAGGTCACCTCCCGTTGCGGACACGGCATGACCTTGGTTGATATCCATCCTATTCTGATCTGGTTGAGCAGGAGGACGCGAAGGGTCGAATTTCCCGGCTGTTTCGTCCTCCTCCAGAGTCTTCCAGCGACTCTTGCCCTTGGAAAACGCCCCAGCAGCCCGATCCGCCTCTACCTTCGCCTTTTCTTCCCGAAGTTCCTCTTCTGTAAGCGGCGGTTTTTCAAATACACGAGAGAAGTGTTCCTGACTCGACTGCGGAAACACGCACCACCCTTCCCAGAGGTGCAGCAGTGAGCCTACGCTTCGCTTCCATTTCTCAGCTCGTAACCGTCCCCAGTTCAGGTCTTTTTCGAGCCTACCAAGGTGCTCAAAGACTTGATGGGACTTTAATGCCGATTCAAAGAGCTGTCGATAGCGCCAAGCATGGCGCACACCGCTCGTGGCAGAGGACGAAAGAATGTCGGAGACAAGGTAAAGCCCGACCAGCTTGGCGGAAGATGTATCCATATTGCTTTTGGACGATGATCGGGCTTCCTCACCTGAAGCGTCATTGGATTCATTCTTTGTGGCTTCCTGCCGAGCGAGACCCTTTTCAATCTCGCGGTCAGGATTGGCCCCAGTGTATGCAAAGGGGTTGATGATGTTCGACACAATCATTTCCACCACTTCGTCAGCGCCTGCGCCAGCATGTCCAATGGCAAAGGCTGTGACACGCGCAACATCACCTTTCCGTAGCTTCGCATGAGTGGTCGGGAGCCGAGCAAGCAGGTGTGTGAGTTTGGCTTTCTGTAGCGGGTTCATGTAACCGAGTCCTTCGTTACCAGTACCCACTCCGTCGGCTGGCGGAGCGCCCCCTAGGTGTCGTCTCTCATCCTCCCCGTCTGACATTTCTTCGTCGGACGAATTGTAATCCTCATCGGAAACAAACTCATCCATGCGTGTGGTATATTCGAACTTGATGCCCGTCTCCGTCGATACCCAACTTGGGCCTCCGTCAAATAGTAACGATGCATTCTGACTCCTACCGCGGTGAGTCCCTTTAGGGTGGCTGTTAGTGAGGATATCCCACAGTTTCCAGCGATAGTACACTCCTCCGGCACTTCTTGAATCCCACAGCCACGCCCACTTCTCATCTCTTTGAACCTCCGGTCGACTCATAAGCAGAGCCTCAAACTCTGGGCCGTAATTCAATAGATTCTCCAAGGTCTTGTGTATAAGCCTCAGCTGCTTCAGATCCGAAGGCGTTTTCACCTCCACCTGCGTGACGGGTCCACTGCGACCATATGCTGCTCCATACGAGGTCGGGGGCGCGAAGCCACCACGGTGAGAGCCAGGTGGTGGCGCACGGTTCAAGCGGCCTCCATACTCCGGGGTAATGGTCTTCGCACCGAATGGAAGAGAGCTTGTTGACGACAGACCCACGGTGACTGGCATCGAGGAACTGATCGCGGCAGAGGAGAGATGCCTCGAAATTGAAAGATAGTATCCCCATCCTAGGTATCTGTTCTGTAGTGCACTGACAGTAGAGTCTATATCCGAGGCAGCCGATTCATTCGCAAGAGTGACGATGGCGGAAATCGACTTGCGATCGGTCGGGGACTGGTTGGAGGGGCGGAGGATTTTCACATTGTCGACAAGTAATACCGACGGAATGAGCGATTTGATTGCAGAAGGAGAAGTCCCTGGTGGTAATGAAGCCAGATAAAGCGTAGGTTTTGCCGCTGCTCTCTCGGCCTCTTTCGCATCCGCTGCCCTGTCCTCCTCCTCGTCCGAAGTGCGAAAAGCCGACGCAGCGGGGGACGATACTGAACCTGCATTTTCAAACCCCAGGATGCCCTGCGCTGACTCTCTATTCCTCTGGAACGGTTGGAATCCTTCATGAGTACGTTTGCGAGACAGCGAAGACGGGTGAGGTCCTAAAGTCCCCGGGCCGCTGCTTCTAGGGCCCGAACTGGTAAAATGGCGTTTCGCAGGTCCACCTCCAAACGCGGCGCTTCTTCCTCCAAAGTTGTTCAGTCTACTTCCGGTTGTGGTTCGATCGGACGGCTGAGAATCATCCTCAAACGACTTGACAAAATCCTCATAAACAGCAGCAGTCTCTGCTTGCTCTCGGGCACGCTTGGCTTCGGCTTCGGCCTTTTGACGTTCGAAGAGAGATTTCTTAGGGAGGGCGGAGAGTTTGGCCGAAATATCTGGAAAAGCCTTGGACTTTGCGTCATCAGGCATCGTGAAAGAGCTGCCGATGCAGCAAATCACTTGTCGTGAGCTTCACGATTAGCGGATGTAGTGTATCATACGGAGTAGTGGCTCGCAAGTTGCAATCGAGGAGAGGCTATCGGAGCGGAGGCGGAGATCGTTGCAGCCTGAGGCAGAAACAACCAAGGCAGCTTGAATCCGACAGTGCGATACGATCTTAAACAACAATTACTCTCATGAATAGCATCAGTCATGGCTACAGCTGAAATACAGTCTCTGCTGCGGTTTTTGTCTCAAGATGCCAAGGTACCATTGGCGTCTGCCATGGGCAAAGTCATGGATCTCCAGAAAGCCAACCTAATATCGTATGAGAACCATTTTGACTCTCTCCATCAGATGCAGCTATCTAACATCTGAGCAGCGTGGAGCAACTTTCAAAAGCAGACATGAAGTCTCTTCAGGAGATTTTCAAAGATGACAAAGTTGCTAAACAGGTGCTGAACGCTGCGAAGAGGGCCTCCAAAAAGCGTCAAGCGCCAACTGGCAATTTGGACTCGCCGCAGAAAAAGGCCAGGGGAGCAGCTCGCATTGATACCACACCATACGAGACTGAATCTGCACTTTCTTTGCCTATCTCGTCGGCGCCGGAAGATGAGCTGTCGCGGATCGTTCTGCTTACTAACAGGGCACCTCTCGTGCTTGCGTTTGCAGTCTGTGCCTTGAAATACACGATGCCAGAGCAGCCAATCTCCAGCAGACTCAGCCTTGCTCAAGCTGTGGTCAGTGCCAACAGCCGCTCGAAGGCTATCAGCCTAGGAATCGAAAACGGCAAAACCGCTGAGCAAGAGGGTTTGGGTGAAGGCCATCCTGTAATCAAAGTCCTAGGGCGAGAGATCAAGGTGTTAAAACGGTGGGATTATAATCCCAGAGAAGGCGGACCAACTGAAGAATCAAGCTTAGAGCAAGATGGTGGGACCGCTGCCGCCGCTTCTGCCGAGATCTTGGGCAGAGGAGATTCAGAGAGCTCAAACACTTCGCCCCCTCTTTGGGGCGTGGACCTTGAAGCCTTACGAAGTGCTCAGGGCAGCCCTGCTACCAGAGTCAATAAAAGTCTTCCAATCTTCACGCCGAATTCTGCAAGATCATATCTCTGCAAATCCTTTACTAACGCAGCTACTGAGACTGACAATGTCTCTAGCAAGACGAAACGCAAGTCGGTCAAGCAATTGGAAGCCGAGAAAGAGACTTGCTTGGGCCAATTACTGCAAGCTATCGACCTGGTCTGCCAGTCCTGGGCCAGCACTCTCAGCAAAGAGGAGCTGGATAGACGTGCTTGGGCCTGGTACCTTCGCGTGAGACCGGATGTTCAGAGTGGGCCAGGAGGTTGGGGCGAAAAAGGGCAAGTGAAATTGTCGGATATCCTGGCGCTCCGAAGAAATCCTTGAACAACGTGCCAGCGGTCACCAATCTGATGAAGATATGTCTTCCAGTCAAGCAAATGCTCGAATGCGGACAGCCGTTGCCGCCAGAAGCCAAGCGTGCCGCAGAGGCCAGAGCAACTTCGTCCTATCAGGAGAACCGCCCATCTTTGCTCGTCCCAAAGCCTCTGCAAAGCAAATCTTCAGGTGACGTCCGGACAGCCCGAGGACTCTCACACCGGCGTTTATATCTCCTAATCCCTAATGAGGCTAGCGATTCATTACTCAGTCGCGTTGAATCCTCCATTCCTGCAATCCATCGTGAGCAGATCCGAGCAAGGGCTTGGACTTCTATCCCAGGCCCTATTCCCTGTTTTCCTCATTGCCAACTTTTATAAATTGCAAGGAGGAGAGTGATCCCTAAAAGGGTTAGAAGGTTGAAATTTCTGCCTTCTCTGTCTATCGATAAAGACTTTGAGGACGAGATTCGATCTCCAAGCTCAATTTAGACAGTGACAGGCTCTGCTGGGAAAACGTACAAGCATCCTTAAGGTACTCAATTAATTGCATTTCAAGGTAGAATATTTCTTAATGGTTGAACCAGACTCGTTGGAAGGCCTCACGTTCTAGACTTGTAGAAAGGTGACTCGGTACTGCGTAACTGATTCCCAAACACTCATATTTGAAGAAGCAAAGAAAATACCGACGAGGTGGATCAAATGGATCAACTTTCTTTGAATTATGTTCTTATCCGGAGGAGCGAAGAGCAACACACAATGCCATTGGACAGAAGAGTCTGTTCCTGTGCGAAGCCCTCCGAACCACATTGTGAACTCTCTGGCTCTTATGTCCAGAACTTCAGAGTCCATGCCCTGATCCAATGAGGTTTCTGTCCATTTGATGATGCTACCCGGTACCTGAGGCAACCAAGTCACCGACCCTCGATCATCGGGTACATTGCCCTATGTAGATTGTAGACGGGGGTATTAGCCTTCCAAGATCTAGGTATATGCTTGTCTGGTGGGATAGTATTCATGGTTCCAATTGATTTTTCGTAACGCTCTTTACTGTCCCTAGGTAGTCTCGAACCCATGCGTTCACGCAGACTCCTGTATGAGAGATTCGATGACAGCAATTGTTAGGCTCTTCTGTCAGCTATGCACCCTTTTCGACTACTGTATCTTATTTGATGGATGATCTTGATGAACGACAGATTAACGGACAATTGCATTTCGCAGAACTTCCGCAGTGTCCCACTGTCTACTCAGATCCAGGTAGAAAGAGTTTGCCGTTCCAGGTTGGGTTCCACCAAAGGCCCAAAGAATCGCCCATCAGTTCGATTCTGGAAAATTAGTCTAGATAAGGTATCTAGTTCAGTTAGGCGTAGTCTGTTCTAGTGTGCTGCTTTGTCCCCTTCTTTTGTTCTTTTCCATGCCTTCTATGGAAATTAAACCGGGCCTTGAAAGTAGTGGGGGCTGGGGATAGGACTGTAGCGATCTTGCGAGAATAATCTCTCGATGCGGGTGTCCGTACTCTGTATTTTTCAACATCACCAAAAGCTGTCAGGATTCAGAACTCAGGAGTACCCTCTATAGATATCTTCAGACTGAAGAAACGTCGATCGGAGGAAGATGCCATAAATAGTATGTATCTCGTTCATCTTGTCATCATTGCAGGAAACGGACATCCGGGATGGTGATGCTCGATCCTCATAGGGTGCTATTTCCATGGCGTATTTTAACTTGTTTCAGATTCGGATGGTCAGGCTTGTAACCTAATTACAGCTTGGCTTCGTCATAATTCAAGGAGAGTAAGGTAACGGTGAAATCAGAGTCTGTACTCCGCGCACTTTATGGTATGGCTTCATCCTAGTATTCCTGAGGGTGGATAGTCTAGTAGAAGGCTAGAACCAACAGAAAACCAAGGATTGTTGGCTGTTGTATGATGATTTGAGCATCCGAAGCGGAGGATGTTAGAGACTAAGGAGGGCAGAGAAAGTGTCACAAGTGGCGAGTCTCCGCAAATTACCACGCTGTAAGGTATCTACTAGCAGGTTTTGATTGTATTCGTGTAAGAAATAAGAATGGATGGTCATCATCAGCAAATATCTAAACAACTACAGAGTACTCCGTAGTAGTATCATCAAAAGCGAGGATAGAGTCCTTCTCTGTAAGATAACTAAACTAGATAATTCATGGAGCCTAAATTTTTGTCTAGGCCAGAAAAAGAGCCCACATTGGATGTTCTGCGCCCCCCAAGACCCCGTCCCGCTCATTACTAGTAGTTAGACTGAGTCCCTCTTTTGCAGTCAACTCCCTTAGTTTAGTGTGTCTGGTGCGCTAACCTAACCAGTACCAAGCAGTAGTACCGATTGCCAAGTCTCCCTTCTCGCTCGCTCTCCCTCTTTCTCCTCCCAGTGAAACCCTTCAACACCACTACCACTAACACCACCACCCACCATCAACCTCAACATCCCTCGTTCCTTATCTTAATTGTCATAAACTTCCCTTTCTCTGGAGAAATTATTCATTTCTCCTTCTCGACGCCCCGACTCTTCGCTTCAGCCCGCTCTGATTTGTTCCTCTCCGTCATTCATCTGCCTAGATTCCAGTCAACCCGGAACAGTCTCGTTCAGGTGACTGTTTCCACCCCCCTCTCTGGCAGACTGACTGGACATCAGAGGAGGCCCGACAGGGCTGTGTAACGCCATGTCTGGGCGTCTCTCTTCCGATCACTCGCGTTCCTTTTCGCAATCCTCGCAGTCGCTCCCCCAACGACACTCTCAAGGGCCCGATTCCGACTCAATGCATTATCGTTCTCCCTCCGGTCGCTCCTCGAACCTCAATGTCTTTTCAGATGAATACTCGCTGGAACCGATTGACTATGAACAGTCTACCCTCACTCCTCGCAGCCCATCAATTTCGTCGACCGCTTCATCTCACACGCTTCGTTCAGCTCCCCTCCCCCAACAGAAAACATACAACACCGTACCCATTGATCCTCCAGATGTGACCGAGAATCCATTTGGCGACGAAGCTAGGGTCTCCTTCGATGACACCCCCCGTCGATCAAGTTTACCCCAGAAAGGGGGATTAGATTTTTCTACCCGCGACTCTACTGCGTCCAACAACACAGATGCCTCCGTGGCTCAGCGCAGTCAAAGTACATCCTCGCGTTTCTCCTTACCGCCTCGCGCAATGAGTCCTTACACCGGAGCCACTGGTCCCAGTCATCCCTATGCGATGTATCCGCAAGTCGGTGTCAGCCGATCGCCCAGCATTGCTACTACATCGACTGTACGACCGATGGAGCGACCGTTAGGCGATTCAAGCGCGCCCCAACACCCATATGCCATGTATTCGCAGGCTGTCGTGCCGGAGGAGGGATTGGATACCCCCATTCATGATCCTGTGATCCCGCTCGGGTTTCCCGGACACGAACAAGCCTATCAGCGACCCCCTGGCCGTGCTGATGACGATGTTGGGGATCTCATAGGGCCTGATGGCCATACCGAGCAGCTTCCTCCTTATTCACGGTACCCTGACGGGGTCGTACCGAAGGAGGCAGGGACCTTGGAGTCTGGAGTTGGTGCTGGCATCATCACAGAAGAGACAGCGCATAGTACGTCCCGAGAGCCTCCAGTGTCAGAAGCTTCCTCTGGGACGTTAGTGGCCGAGAATTCTGGAAACTTGGCGAATGGGAATGGGAATGGGAGTGGCAACGGGAATGGGAATGGGCATTCTCCTGGAGAACATGAGGAGCCGCCCGCTACAGGCGTTATGGCGTTTGAGGAAAAGTTGAAAAGCAAAGGCAAGAAGAGAGTTTGCTGCGGATTGCCGATCTGGACGTTAGTTCTTATAAGCATCGTTATCTTCGTGGTAGCATGCATTGCAGGTGTCATTGGGGGTGTTCTTGGGGCGAGAAAGGCGGCGAGCGAGGAGAGCTCGAAAGACAAAGGTCCTCACATCGTCACAGTGACAGCTACCCCCAAGGCGGATGCGACTCCCATCTCATCGATGCCGGCGAATGTGTTGCCTGTGCCTACAGGCGAGTTCGTCATTCCAGCCAGTCCCAAGAACCAGTCGAAATTTTGCATTGCTAAGTCGGATTACACGGCCTCATGGGGCTGCATGTCTCGCGGCAACATCCCGATCCTACTTCAGGGAGAGGATGGTCATCAGCACAATATCACTTTCGAACACCGACCCCTGAGCTCTTCATTTTCTTATGGTGCCCAGGCACCGATTCTGTCCCAGACCCAGGAACTGACCCCGGCTTATGATTCGGGCGACATGGCCCTAGGCCCTGCCCTTACTTTCTTCACCTTGTTTGACAAGCTGGTTATTGTCCCCCAGGACACCTTCTCTTCGAATGCTGCATCGAAGCGCTCCGTCTCAGAGCGCGACGTCATGGCTCAAGCTTTCCAACGCAAACAGGCAGTGAAAGCAGGCGATCGGCCTTGGTTTTGTTGGTGGAATGGCACCATGATAGAATTCTTTTTGTACACGAATCAGACATCCAAGGATGCTCGGCAGAGCTCGACGGCTTCATCCCCACCAACCGAAACGCCAACGGCTCAGAATGGGAAGAGAGGCACGACATCTCTTGATCTTTTACCTGACTATCCCCGCCGGATCAAAATGGACGAGAAGCGAAACCACCCAGGCTCCCGATCGCCCTACTGCCAACAGATGCAGGTGTTGGACGACGGATCGATAGCAACGGCTTCCCCCGAGACAATTGAGATCAAAGAAGTAGAACCAACACCGACAACGACCCTTAAAAGCTATGGCAGTGCGACTCAAACCTATACAGCCAAGGCACAATATGAAAGTGTGTGCTACTGCGCATCATTGACCGATTAGGTCGGCTTGTTGATATGCAAGTCTCTTATCATGAAATGTGTCTTTCGGTCGAGGCGTTGGCGTTCTCAAAGGTGGAGGTAGCTGTGTCATGCATGATCTTCACGACTTAATCCGCCAGGGGCGATTGATCCCAGTTTATTCTCTGACATTGGCGTGCATTTTTATTCCTACGAGGTTTCTTTCTTTTTAACCTGACGCGTTCTCGGTTTAGTCTCACTGCCACAGTGTTCTGACTCGACTTCTGTCTCGAATATCCCTTTCTCTTCTAGCATTTCTTTTCTGGGGAGATCATTTAACGGCGTTAACACGGAGGTTATAGTGCGTAAAAGGCACCACCCTTTCATTTATGCTTTGGGCTAATCTCTTCTGTCTATGCTTGATCTCCATGTTTTTTGTTGCAGCTACTGCTCAAGATATCTGGGTTACAGCGATATGGTATGATGGCAATATCATTAGGAATTGTCCTTTCCAGCGGTTAAAGTAGGGCAATTTAAATAAGCCTGAAATTTGATAAATTCTAAATTTGGAGCTCTGTATGTTTTTAATGTGTTGAAATTGGAGAGGTATGGGTTGGTTGGCCGCATTCAGGTGAACCGGCGATCAGCAACGGAGATGACTCTGTTCAAACGTCATTGTCCCCAGTTGACTTCTTCCAAGCAGGAGACGACACGCCACCGTGACCGGTATGAAATCGATCTCGATGGCAATTCCTTGGGAGGTTTAGCGATGATATAACCGCTTGTTGATGATCAGTTTCTTAATAAATGCTTGCCCGGGTACCTTACGCCAGTGGACTCCGACTATTTTTACAACAATTATCTGTAATATACTCCAATATATACTACAACAATGAATCCAATCTTCCGCAGTAGCCTCTCATCGAAGGCAATCAAATCCTCGACTCTTCCAATCTGCCGCCAGAGGAGCGTCTTCCCTCAACCATGGCGATTCTACTCTCAGAGCTCCTACGGCGAAGCTGAACAAAAACCAGAAGGTAAAACAGAAGCTCAAACGAGCAAGGCTACGCGCGATATCGAACACCCAGGTGAGTTTCCCACCTTTGAAGTACCTGAATGCTCTGCTCGATTCTGACCGTGGCACAGGACCCCCTCCCCCGGACGTCAGCAAGGGCAAGGGCTCGTCTTCACCTTCATCCGGCTCTGGCTCACGCTCTCAGAACCAACCCCCATCAGACGAGGAAACCCGCCGCAGCAACGACGGTGCAGAGGTCTACCCGCACGTCACAAGCAGGCCGTCGAATAACGCCCGGCCGACCCTCAACGACGGACGGTCGCCCAACGTCGACGAGGAGGGGAACCCGCGTCCGGACGTGCCAGAGGACGTGAAGCGGCATAATGCCGAGATTGAGAATCGGCATGACCGGGCGTATAATAAGATGGAGGATGATGGGAAGGTGCAGAAGGTGTCTTGGAAAAATCCGAAGTAGAGGGGCTGGGGTGGCTTGGTTGCTTGTTGTATCGGGGATGGTTGGTTGGGGCTGGGGGTTGGATGCTGATGGCGGTTGAGTAGTTCGTTGACTGATTACCTTACCGGCATGAGTCCGTGGTTTTTATGTGATGTTGGATACTTGTAGATGGCCCATGTTGAAGGTCATCGCAGAGGACACAATGTGCGCTGAATGACGTCTGTACCAGAAGTCTGATTTGCATGTAATTGCATATTGATGATGATGACTTTCGCGTATCCACCGACGATGTGATATTTGTAATTCCAGACTGGCTATCACTGTCTATGTTGATTGACCAACATTCGAGGGCGCATTGCAGTGGGAGTCGAGCCGAGTCCTGGCCTAAACAGCTGAGGCCACTTGTATGATTAGATACCGACGAACGCGGAGCTCCCGCACCAGTTCGAGTCTAATTTACAGCCTCTCAGGGGATTCGACAACACCATTTCACTCTCTGCATTTCGTGCTCAATTCCGGTGTTGATATAATTCTCGGGTTCTTATCTTTCTATTCGATTGTTCGTTTTTATTTCTTCAGAGTAAAATGGCCGACACAAAGAACAAGTACTCGGTCATTCTGCCGACGTACAATGAGCGCAAGAACCTCCCTATCATCTGCTGGTTGCTGGAGCGAACATTCCGCGAGAAGTGAGAGACATCTTACTGGCCCCCTCCTCAGTCAATCGCATGCTGCTAACTTTCTGCTCCTACAGCAACCTCGACTGGGAAATCGTGATCGTCGATGACGGCTCCCCGGACGGCACCCTCGAAGTCGCCAAACAGCTCCAAGCCCTCTGGGGCCCCGAACACATCAACCTCAAGCCGCGGGCCGGCAAGCTAGGTCTGGGAACAGCCTATATCCACGGGCTCCAGTACGTCCGCGGCAACTATGTCATCATCATGGACGCGGACTTCAGCCACCACCCCAAGTTCATCCCCGAGATGATTCGCATCCAGGCGGCGACGGACGCGGACATCGTCACGGGCACGCGGTATGCGAGCCGCGACGGCATCAAGGGCGGTGTTTATGGTTGGGATCTGTTCCGGAAGTTCACGTCGCGGACGGCGAATTTGATTGCGGATGTCATGCTCATGCCTGGCGTGAGTGATCTGACGGGGAGCTTCCGGTTGTACAAGAAGAGTGTGCTGGAGAAGGTCATTTCCAGTACACAGAGCAAGGGGTATAGTTTCCAGATGGAGATGATGGTGCGGGCCAAGGCGATGGGATTCAAGGTTGCGGAGTGTCCGATTACGTTTGTCGACCGGCTGTACGGGGAGAGTAAGTTGGGCGGGCATGAGATTGTCGAGTATCTCAAGGGTGTGATGAATCTGTGGTTGAAGGTTTGATCTCTCTCTCGCGCGTTCGTTGTTCGCAAGGCTTTTCGGGGGTTCTCTTCACGGTCGGCTTTGACCTCGACATACTTCACCATACCCTTATTCGTCTCTTATGTCTCTAATACTGCTACTGCCATGTTCCTTGGTTATTTACTTGCTGCTCTGTCTTCGGCCTGTGTGTGTACAATAAAACGCGAAAATTATGACATGATTTCATTCCACTGCCATCTCACATCGAGTGCAAAGCTAGATACCCTTCAGATAGCGAGTGACGCGCTCAACGAGATCAGCCTGTCCCTCATCCCTGACATTGTGGCTTGCCCCGGGTATGATCCCGCTATTCTGATCCCATGTCCCAGCCTTCCCAGCCTCAGTCGCCTCTCTCCACCGCGCCATCAGCGCCTCCTTATCCACCCACGGCGCCGCAAACTCATCATTCCCCGAGTACAGCACCAGCAGCTTCGACCTCAAAAGCCCCCGCGTCGCCACAGCCCCAAACGTCTCGCGCAGCCGCTGATCCGTCAAATCCGAGCTAAACAGATCATCCTCCGCCGGCCTCGCAGGACTATCCGGACTCGCCAGACTCAAGAACCGCCGCGCACTGACAGGGTCCGGGGGTAAGCCAACCTTGCTGCTCAGATTCAACGGCAGAATGATATCAGCCGCGGGAGCCTGACGCGCCAGCGAAACCAGCTGCTCGAACGCGCCCTTCGCCACGGAACCCTCCGCGCCTGGCTTGCGCGTCTCCGCGAGCATGGCTTCCCGGTCGGACACGGGCGCTTGCAGGATCGCACCGTCAACTACAGGCCAGTCCCGGTCTCCCTGAGGAGAGATAGAGTACAAATAGTGCAGTACGTCCTGGCTTCCGGTCGAATGGCCCATAATGACGATCTTCCCGGGTGCCGATGCCGTGGCGGCCGAGGCCTTGAGGCTGCGGACGAAGTCGACGCATTTCGCAATCTCCTCGACATCCTTGTCGAGATTGCCGGTGCCCCAGCCGCCGAAGGAAGAGGAGAGCTGGGCTTGGAAGACGGACCAGTCGGTTGGTTCGAGGGCGGCGGCGAGTGGTGCTACGTAGGGGACGGTGCAGAGGCCATCTGTCAGGCCGCCGATGAAGATGAGACTGTGTGGTTTTTGGGGCGTGGAGCTGGTGAATTCGAAGGCGACCAGCCTTGGGGCCTTCTCTTCAGTTAGCTTGTGCTTGATCCGTTGATGCGTTGATCGATGTTTATGCTTACGTATTCATGCAGTGTTCCTGGGTGTGATTTTGACATGATGACTAAAGTCTATCTTTCAGATATATAAAGGATGAACTAGCGAGATTCTGTCCTTGAGGGGAAATCTAGGAGATTTAAGTCTTCTGAGGAAACTGATCATCAGTTACTGTGTAGATATTGGTTTGTTTGTGGTAGACAGGCAGGTCTGTCATAGAACCGATGATATCAGGACGCAGCTCCACTATCCGTAGAGCGGGGCCTACTGAGTTTCAGTCCTCAACATGCACTGTTCCCAGGATAATGATCAATAAGAATGAATTCAGTCTTGTCTCAAAAATAGCATTCCTTCAAACATTTTTTTCTTGAATTATAGATATTTGTATTGTGATACGATCTTAATGCTGTGGGGTTATCAGATGTTGTCACTGGCTGTTTTGAGGAGTAAAATTACGCCAAGACCTCATCCAGCTCTTGATACGGAGGATCTGTTTTATATCAGATCAAACATTGCGACTGCATTCTCAGTCCCATATGCCATCACATTGATCGGACTTGATGGGTAGGATCAGTTTCGCCACTTGAGAGGCTCTGATAGCATGAAAGAGCTATTTTATCCGATCATTGGAATCGTCAATTTTAACATCATCCCAAGAAGCCAAGGGTGGTAAGGTAATATCGCCAGATGCCTCGTACACGCAGGTCCAACCGCCTATCCGGGGCGAGAACCAGATACACAAGCGATCCCTTTGAGATTGCGGGAGTCAGCGATGAGTCGGACTCTAGAGAAGGACCCTCTTCCTCTCGACGAAAAGAAAAGGAGCCTGTCCCTGCAGATGATTCCTCGGACGAGGAGTACAACGTTGTTCAGGACGAACAGGAGGAAGAGGAAGAAGGCGAAGATGAAGACGTAGAGATGCTCGATGAACCCGGCGACGATGATGAATTCGTCTCCGACAACGAAGACGGAACTGATTCAAAGAAGCCCATAAAGGCCGGGTCCTCGCGAGTCAAGAATCTCAAGCGACGGCACCAGGACGGCACGGTCGCTATTGCTGACGATGAGATTCACTTCCGGGGCACATGGAACCCCGGCGAGCATGTGGGAAAGGTGACCCACATGAAGGTGACCTTTGGTACTGACGAGAGGGATCTACTTTCCATGGCGTATACACGGGACCGATGGGCCAAGGGCATTGATGCGACGTTTCCTACGCGTTCTTCATTGAATGAAGCTCAGAAATTTCCTGACTACACGTATGGCGCGACCTTTGGCGCTGAACCGGAGGATGTCAGGAAGGAGAGTACCCGTGGTTGGGACTGGTACTACGCTGATGATGTTGGGGGGCTCTTCCGCAAGAGGCAGCGAGTTGAAAAAATAGACGAGGAGGAGGCTCGCTCACGGTATATGGCACAGCAGCAGCAGAAGCAGACGGTATTAATAGGGCCAGTGGACGTTCAGAAAAGGTTCCGGCTAGGGCAGAATGAGTCGGTCAATTTCGGCGAAGCCTGGAAATCTGGAGAGAAGAAGAGCGCGGCAGGAAAGAAATCAACAGAATCAAAGAAACCGCGACGCGAAGGGTGGCTGCTCAATCTGGGGAAGAAGATTCAATGCATGGCTTGGGCACCCAATCAGTCCGGTCTCACGCAGTACCTTGGCGTCGCGGTGCCCATCACCAAGGAGCAGAAGGAAAGTTACCCAGACCCCTTGAAGAATCAAGCCGGTCTCCCGTTCAGATCTTCTGCTCCTTACCCGTGTGCACTGCAGCTGTGGGCGTTCAAAGCCAAGCGAGACGACAGCTTTACGAAGACCCTTGATATGAGCTTTAAGCCGAGGCTGCGTTTGGCTCTTTGCACCGACTGGGGTGACTTGCGACGAATCGCCTGGTGTCCTATGCCTCGGGCTGCACGGGACGAGGATGACGAAGATCCTTTGAAGAACCTGGGACTCCTGGCTGGAGTCTGGGGAGACGGCTATGTTCGAGTTATTGACGTCAAGCTGAGCAGGAATCCGAATGCGACAGAGTTCAGTAAGTAGACTACAGAGCGCAATTGATGCTCCTTCGGCTGACGATCTGTAGACAAAATCTACACTCCAGTTTTCGAGGCTAAGCCCCCGTCGACCGTATGCACATGCGTGGCTTGGCTTTCTCCAACTGACATTGCTGTTGGCTGCGCCAACGGCTTTGTTGCTATCTGGAGCATTCTACCTTCAGAAGAAACCGCGTCAGCCTCTCTACCTTACTTCTACGAACCAATTCACCGCACTTACGTCCTGAACCTGGCATCGGCCTACCCAACCCATCCTCATCTGCTGTGTACGACATCTATGGACGGAGAAACCCGCCTGTCCTCAATCGTCGATTTTCAGAAGGACACCGTGGAAACGAACCGAATGCGAATGGCGTCGCCCCATGTGGCCTATTCTCCCTTGCTCCATGCATTCCTCTCAAGCGACGAGAACGATTTTGCTCGACTCCTCGCCGTGCGGCGCTTCTTCACCACAACGGCCGTGGCAAGACTACCAAGTACGGTCTCCGCTCTTGCGCCGTGCAGCTTCTGGCATCCAAGCGTCCTCCTGGGCTGCGCAGGCGGCGAAGTCGTTGCGACAAGCCCCATCCGCCGATTAGTGCACCCCAAAGAGAAACAGTGGCAGCAGACCTGGTTCATGCATGAATGGGCGCGCGGACAAGAGGCCGACAGCGCAGGGACAAGTCGATTCATTGACGGCTACCGTGCTGAAAGCTTCAGTCTCTTGCGCAACATGGTGGGTGATCGTAGGATGGTCAACGGCACGATGATGATTACCATCTTCGACGAAGCGACACACATTACTGCACTGACGTGGAATCCCAACCAGCTGTGTGCGGGATGGGCCAGTGCTGGGTTGGGATGTGGATTGATTAGGGTAGAGGATTTGGCAATCTAGATGATTCCGATGTGAAATGACCCCTTGAGATGGACAGCTGGTAGTTGATACAGGAAGGAATCCGCTAATCTTAGCTTATCCGGTTGTGACCAAGGTTGGAGTAGTAGTGTGGCCATCTAGAGCCATTGCAGCTCTCGCATCAGAGTATGGCTACGAAATACCTCTCTACCTGAGCCGGGAGTAGTCTAGGCAGACAGCAACAACCTATAGTTGCTGCTCTTTGTCGTAAGTCCCTGCGCTCTCCAAATTAATTCACTGGATCAAAGTTGCTGATGACATCAGATAGCATATTCACATATATAAGGTAGTTCTCATAGACGGTATATTCACATATTCTCTGCCGGCAGGAAAGATTAGCGGTGAATCTGTTGCGTGTTCCTGAGATGCTCTTTTGGTCGTCTTTCTCCTTCGCACCCGTCCGTGTATCCATAGACCTCGAATATCAGAATCAAGGCCACCATGAGTTCCAAGGAGGAATAAAAGGAAGCTCAGTGAGCAGCCTCTGCCTGCAGTCCAAGTGAAAAGCCCCCAGATAGTCGCTGCCAGCGGTCTATCCGAGATCTCTACAAATCCATCAGAACTATCTTGGTCAGAGTCAGAACCAAGAGCTAAGGAACGGATTCAGGCTTATCAGCTTTCGAACCGGAAACTGAAAGCTGAGGAGTTCCTGAAGCATTGTCTTCGCTCCTGTCTGGAATATTTACCACAGGACGGCCGAGGATCGTTGGTGAGAGAAATTCTTGCTGCGTCGACCGATCAAGCTCGACTGTCTGGAAGATGTGATGGCCGGAGATCTAGAGGGCACACATCATTCCTTATGCTTATGGTCATGGAAAGGCAGATCGGTATAAACCCCCCATGTCCGTATTTCCACTGATATGCTGATCCTTCATCCAAAAGATCGTACTACCATAGTTGATTCGTTGTCATCGAATACCATGTCAATCCATATCCCCGACCGTGCCGGTGCCATCAAGGCAGCTGAGAATGAGATCGTCCGTTCCCTTACCAAAAGCCAACGATCCTGCATAGACCTGCTCGATCCTGTTCGCAAACTGGATTGGACGGCCAAGAATGGAAAAGAGTTGTGTAAGGAGAATAAACATCAATCACATCAGGACGCTCTTCTACTTCAAGTTCGGGGTGACTCCAGCAGCGAGCCGTGTTCGCAATGCTCTAACGGTACTGGAACATTTCAAACCTGTGGAATGAGATCCCAGATGCGGTTGATGTATGGACGATTTTCTATCAATGCTTCCCAGGTGTACGTCGAGCTGGCATGAGCGTGAGAACTTCAGCGAAAGATTGGGATCCGATGGACGTACGCCCTTTTTTCATCGATCGCGTTATCGAGCATAACACGCCCACGCTGTGTCGGCAGCCACCACACGCTTGTTTCCAAAGTGTTTGCCACTACTCGCCTCTCCCACTAGAAGTTCGGTGATTATCAGTCATCTGCAGGGCCAACGGACATAAGTCAAGTACCTGATATCACGATGTTCAACATGCAGGGACCACCTCGCCTAGTGGCTGTTGGAGAACTCAAGTCTTTCTGGACAGTTGAACTTGCGCACTATTCTATTCGTGAAGGCTACATGGATTTAATCGGCGTCGAGCATCACATTGGTAAGTCCAGTTGAACCTGATTCATGACCGTGTCTGACGTTTCCTCAGGGCAACTCGTCAAGTACATGCGCTCTAGTAACCTCAAATTTGGGTTCTTGTCGACATACAAGAGCACTGTCTTTATTCGGAGAATGGGCCCTTGCCGTTTTGAGATATCATTACCTATTGGTGAAGGCGCAGCCTCCACTGCTCCCTCTCGCCGTGGTCGAGGCCGTCCCGCTGGTCGCGGTGGTCGTACGACTCGTGGCCAGCAGGGCGGTCCCCTAGCCGTCCGCGTGCCGCCCCCTCCGCGCAGCGTCACTCCGCCTGCTGCTCCTGCTGCGCCTGTGTTATTTTGCTATCAGTGCCTCCAAGCGCCGACAGTCTGCGTAATGGGGGTGCTTCCCCCCTGTTTGGGATACTCCCCGGCAGGGAAGAAGTACTCCCGTTGCGCGGGGATGCACCAACCCTGCCTCTTAGTATGTTGGTTTTCCGCATTTCTTGCTTGACGCATCTGCTAACTTTTGCTCTCTGGCAGTTCCCAGCCGCGGCTCTGCCGCTGGCATGTTATGTTGTTCTTTTGTCCCATGCCGCCGACTGCGCGCCCACTACCAGCAAGGCTGCGTCCTTGGCGGCCGTCATCACCGCGGCCCGCTACCTTGAGGGAGTGCTCCAGCCTCTGTTTGCCTGGCTGCCCCTGCCGTCAGGAACATGAACGATCCTTCCAATGGGGATCTTCATGCCTAATTTGGAAATTCATAATGGCATTCAAGTCAAGACCAAGAGGCTAGGGTGATCACCCTTGCCTTAAACCACATGACTCATGATCACATATGTCTTAACTTTTCTAAGAGTAAATACACCTCTTACCCCCTTTCGGCTTCTCTCCTTCTCGAAGGCGGTCATGGAAGTTGCTTATGACATCACATCACATGGATGGTTATCTGCCGGCAGAAAATATTAGCGGTGAACGTGCTATTTGTTATTGATACTAAGTAGTATCTTGCTCGCCTTTCCTCTTCATACACACACGTGTAGCCACAATTATCCGAGATCAGGATCAAGGCAACGGTGAGTTCCAAGAAACATAAGTGGAAACCTAGCGATCAGATTTCAGGGGCTTCTCCAAAGAGCCGCCGATCCCGTCGCCTGGCTGGACAGCCAGAGGATGACCAGCAACCTCTGCCAGCAGCTTTGTTTCAGAGCCCCCAGATGGTCGCAGCCCGTGGTCTGTCTGAGATCTCTACTAATCCATCAGAACTATCTTGGTCAGAGCTAGAACCAAGAGCCAAGGAACGTATTCAGGCTTATCAGCTTTCGAAATGGAAAGATGAGCAGTTCTTACAGCCTTGTCTTACCTCCTGTTTGGAATATTTGCCACAGAACGGACGAGAATCATTGGCGAGAGATATTGTTGCTGCGATAACTGACCAAGCTTTCTGGCAAGTTTACCATAGGATCTATACTGGCTTACTTGGTCCTAGTAAGTGTCCAGAAACCCACTTACATTTGTGCCTCTGACAATTAACACTTTGACAGTCAAAGCCCACAGCAGAACACCATCTGTTACGGCGAGTCCGCATGCAGATGACGAAGCCCAATCAAGAGACGAGGACTTCAGAAATGCCTGTCTACAACGAGATGGGTATCGTTGTGTCGTTTCCAATGTAATGGACGCCGACCGATGGAAAGAGCGCGGCTGTCTGGAAAATGTAAAAGCTTCGGATCTAGAGGGGGCACACATCATTCCTTATGCGTATGGTTCATGGAGATGGACACAGGTAGAGCACTCTCCATATCCGTGTTTCAACGGATATACTGATGTGAAATAGGGACCGCCCCGGAGTGTGGTTGATGTGTGGACCGTTCTTTACCAATGCTTCCCAGAAGTACGGCGAGCTGGCATGAACGTGGAGAACATCTATCATCCTTCCAATGGCATGATGTTGCTTCCCGATCTTCATAAGCAATTTGGAAAATTCCTAATGGCTTTCGAGGCCACAGTGTGTACTACTTAGGCTGGCTATCACAATACCCACTTTCTGATGGAATCCGTCTGTATAGGATGTACGGCACAAATACAAGTTGAAGCTTTACCGACGTTTCCGTTCCTATGCTCGAAACGCACTTCCCGAAGACGGCACCGTGACTTTCCGGAAGGCGGGGGGAGCCGAGAATATCCCTCTGCCAAATCCGGTCTTGCTCGATTGTCATTTTCGGGTTGCTGAAATTTTGAATGCGTCCGGAATGAACGAGTTCATAGATCGTAAGATTCGGGAGTGGGAAGACTTAAAAGATGGCCCCGACGCCGCCCAGCTTCGACCTGATGGTTCCACAGATGTTGCTCGTTACCTGAGGGCCGGCTTATGGGACTCTGTGGCAGTTTGAAAACGTGTTTCGTTTGTCCTCCCTCACACCGAACCCCTTCTCTCTGCTTCGTTTCTCTATTATCTACGGTAGGAAGCTGTGCACCCAACTTTCCTCTTAAGCTAGGTTCTTACTCGCCGTTGGAATAAAGTGGAGAGACAGTACCCGGAACATTGTGAAGGGCTTTGGATTACGGGAAGGCCAACTCAACGACCGCCAGCTGGCGTGAAGCAAGCCAACTACATGTTTATCACGAGCATAAAGGTCATGGTACACTTTTTTGACCAGGTGAGTCGGATGCACCTCATTCTTGAGGGCCAGCGCATGATGACAGTCTTGATCCGCAAGTCTTCCACCATGCATCATCGACTCCAGGATAGGAGGTTTTGGCCTATGGCGATTGCTACGCTCGTGTTGAGAGCTAGGATACTGTTGTCGAGGGAAAGTCAGGCGGCCTTGATCTCAATTCTCATACATGCAAGGGCGATTTCAAGACCAGTCTGTTTCCTGCGGCCTGTTTTCTCTTGTTGCTTACAATTTTAGAGGACAATCAATCGCAGATTCTGGATACAACGCGCCAGTAACACTTGTCAGGTGGTATAATTTGACTTGATGATTGTCCTCAGCATTCAAGACAGATGAACACCAGAATTCTTCCTTCACCGTCTGGCTCCTTATCAGCTCCATAGCTTCTGGGTCCCATCCAGCCATGGCGACTTAGTACAGCTGAGCGCACGGAAGTTCCGTCGTCATACTCAGTGGTCATATGTACTAGAAATTGCGTACATTAATCTGGATCTTGTGAGGACGATTCTGCTTGCTACATTTTCAACAACTGTTCTTAGAGCTATGTCATAATTACCTCTGCCTTGTTGCATACACCTCTGCTAGACGCGGCCTGAACAGCTGGGTCTTTTCTAGGGCTCATCATATTGTAGAAACTGGATTGCGCTGGCTATTTCTGGGTTCTGATATGGGACTGCCGAGTCGATGCGGTGAGAACATGCGAGGCGACGATCAGCTCCAGCCCTCTTGCAGAACGGTGAAGCAAATTGGCTGCTGCCTACCTCTCTATGATACTAACAATATCACAACTAACGTAATCGGACACCGAACGGGCCACGACACCGAGCGGGCCATCGGAAACCACGATTTTGATTTTGGCTGACGCCCAAAAACCATAAGATATCTTACTACCACACAGTCAATTTAACAGAAATTTTCGAATTATCTGGATCTACTAGGGCAGCTGGTTCTAATATGACCAATTTGATGGCAGTTACTGCATCGTGGTGGCGCACGCTTTCTGGGAACTGATTCCACCAAGTCCATTGCCTGCATGGCTTCTTGAGCAAGTTGCTGACCTTCGGATCCTGTCAGAACACCCCCAGTAGCAATAAAAGATCTTGGGGCTGTACACTTCCATTTTTACTTTTCATTCGCTGCGCGAAGCTCAGTCATCTGGTGTCGTAATAGAATGACTTCATGCATAGTGGATTCGGCTGCTTTTGCCAGCTGACGAACTGCTTCATTTGGCGGGCTTTCAGAGTTGCAACTGATAAGTTGTTTGATAAGCTGCATCTACTTTTGTACCTCAGCAGTAGTATAAGGAGTCTTTACTGTCCATTCCCTGTCTCCATCTAAAGGCCCATGAGCAGTAGAGGGTGGTGTGATATGCTTAATGGTAAGCCTATCCAACACCTGTTGACGATTCAATGGAACTAGTCCAGAAGCCCTAAATCCACTGCTGATATTGGAAGGTGATAATGCTTTTCGTGCTCCCTTGTAGAGATCCAGAAAGTTCTCTTTATTGATATAATGAATGCTATTTTGAATACTGCGCATCACCTCTGCACTATATGCCTCCTTTAGGGGTGCGAAGCAGCCAACATCAAGTGGCTGTAGTTTATCAGACGAATGGGAAGGCATATATAAAGGGATGATTTGATGATTCTTGCAGAATAGGTCAAACTTTGCAGATTCATGGCTAGCATGACCATCAAGTATCAGAAGCCGATATTTTCCTTATGCACGCGTCACAGTATGCTTCTCAAAGACTTTTTCCAACTATAATAAACTAAGCTCATTATTGGTCCATCCATTATCGCTCAGACCAATCAGCCAGTCAGGGTCTATGTCTTAATACCATTGAGATTAATGGACCTTGCCAGAGAAGATGATCATAGGGGGCAGAGACCACCCAGAAGCATTGATGCATTCAACAACAGTAACCCATTCGCGATTCCCCGGCTGTACAGCTCATACGCGGCTTATTCAATGGCAGGATGCAGTAATGACCTTTGCTGTATAGACCACACCCATTTAAAAGCCAGTCTCATCAAAGTTGTAGATATCCTGTTCGAGAATACCATATTTTACTATGGTATTCTGAACAAGATCAAACCACTGGTTGATGATCTCAGGATCCTCACATTTTGCGCGTTGATAATCATACTTGCGAGTATACTTGGATGTGAGCTCGTCATGTCGTTTAATGAATCTAGTAATCCATCTTTCACTGACAGATTCCCCATTTCTCTCATGTAGTAGTATATCCGCCATCTTGCATACCATAGCATGAGTAGGTGGGAGACCTCGCTCATCCATATCTAGAATCCACTTCTTTAGGGATGCTTCTTCTAGATTGGTAAGCTTCTGGCAGTTTGCTTGTATATTAACCCGTGCTTTTCAACCACTGATTCGATAGGTAAGGGTAGACCTTGGTATGTCGTATACTGCTGCTGCAGCTCGTATGCTTTTAAACTGGCCATTTTTATATGCTTTGACTGCAAGGCTGATTCTATCTTCTAATACGAGCGCTGATTCTTCTTGTTTTGATGCCATGTTGGATGGAAAAATTGATTTAGTCGTTGGAAGATTCAGGGGTGGGAGAAGTGGCCCGCTTGGTGTCGTGGCCCGTTCGGTGTCCGATTACGTTAACGTAATCCACAACCGAGCAGCACACCCAGCCGAACGGCACACGATCTTGACCATGGTTGGAGAATCATGAAATATCTTACAACTACGCAATAAAACGAAAGCCTTTTCTCAAACATAAAAGAATTGTATTATCTACTTGGGCAGCTGGTTCTAATATGACCAATTTGATGGCAGTTACTGCATCGTGGTGGCGCGCGCTTTCTAGGAATCGGATCCTCTAAGCCCATTCTCTGTATTGCTTCTTGAGCAAGTTGTTAACCTTCAGACCCTGTCAGAACGCCCCCAGTAGCAATAAAAGATCTGGGGGCTGTACGCTTTCGCTTTTGTACTTCATTTGCTGCACAAAGCTCCTTTACCTCCTGATCTAGTAGGAGGACTTTATGCATGGTACATTCAGCCAATTTTGCTAGCTGACGGATTGCTTCATTTGGAGGACTTTCAGAGTTGCGATTGATCAGTTGTTTAATGAGGTGCATCTGCTTTTGTACCTCAGCAGTTGTATAAGGAGTCTTTACAGTCCATTCCTGATCTGAAGGCCCATGGGCAGTAGATGGTGGTGTAATATGCTTGATAGTAAGCTTATCCAACACCCGTTGGCAATTCAATGGAACAAGACCAGAGGCTTCAAATCCACTGCGGATATTTTTGGACGATAAGGCCTTTCGTGCTTCTCTATAAAGTGTCAGAAAGTTCTCCTTATCAATATGATTAATGCCCTTTCAAATGCTGCTCATCACCTGCATGCCGTATGCCTCCTTTAGAGGTGCAAAACAGCCAACATCAAGTGGTTGTAGCTTATGAGATGAATAAGAAGGCATATAAAGAGGGATGATATAATGATTCTTACAGAAAAGATCAAACTCTGCAGATTCGTGGCTAGCATGGCCATCTAGAATCAGAAGCCAATGTCTCCCTAGCGTACGCTGCGCAGTATGCTTTTCAAAGACCTTTTCCAACCATAATAATCCAAGCCCATTATTGGTCCATCTATTATCGCTCAGACCAATCAGCCATTCAGGGTCAATATCTTCATACCATTAAGATTAATGGACCTTGCCAGAGAAGATAATCATGGGGGGAAGAGACCATCCAGAAGCATTGATAGATTCAACAACAGTAACCCATTCGCGATTCCCCGGCTGTACAGCTCGTACGCGGCTTATTCAATGGCGGGATGCAGTAATGACCTTTGCTGTAGAGGCCACACCCATTTAGAAGCCAGTTTCGTCAAAGTTGTAGATATCCTGTTCAAGAATACCATATTTTACTATAGTATTCTGGACTACATTGAACCACTGTTTGATGATCTCTGGATCCTCACATTTTGCACGCTGATAATCATATTTACAGGTGTATTTTGATATAAGATCATCATGCCGTTTAATAAAGTTGCTGACCCAGTTCTTTCCAGTTGATGTGCCAGGTTTCTGATGAGAAAGTAATAAATCTGCCATCTTGCGTACGGTAGCATGAGTTGGTGGTAGGCCGCGCTCATCCATATCAAGGATCCATTTCTTCAAAGAAGCTTCCTCAAGATTGCTAAGCTTCTGGCAGTTTGCTGGTACATCAGTCCGTGATTTTCGACCGTTGATTCGGTATGTAAGTGTGCGGTAGGGAACGTCATATGCTGCTGCTGCGGCACGAATACTTTTGAACTGGCCATTCTTAAATGCTTTTAGTGCAAGCTGTATTCGATCTTCTGATTTGATCACTGGATCTGCAGTCTTTTGTGGCATGATAACTAATGGTTGTCTGGCTCTGCGAAGCAAGTCAGGGGCGAAGGAGCTGAGGTGGCCGAAACTGTGTGCCACTCGGTTGGGTGTGTTGCTCGGTTGTGGATTACTTTATATAGCTATGCTGACCGATCACCCACCCTGACGAATCTTCTATCAATAGCAGAGTAGATAGAAGACCCACGAGGTTCGACGCCGGAGCAGCAGTAGTGGATCCCGCCAGCCACAACAGCCGTCCGTTGATGCTTGGCGGTGTGCAGCACTGTACCACAACGTTAATGCTGAGGTCAAGTCTACTGTTCAGTCGATCATTATAGTGCCAGGCTACTGCCAGCAGGATCAAGATGCTCAAGATCGGCAATCAATTAACTGCTCATGATGATTGAAAAGTCGAAAAATATGACATGACAGCTCAGAATCATCGTGGCTGGGCCAGTGCGATGCGCTGCTGCCTTTTCCCAGCCTCCTTGTGCGGATCTCGGATGAGTGGATTCACTCGATTCCGGCCGTGATGGCAGCCAGCCTGCATGAATTTTGGTCTTTTTTTCTGTTCAATCTTGATGATGAATGTGTAGATTGAGTTTGGCTTTTTGTGATATATATCGTTGGTCGCTGGAAGGTGTAGCGGACTTTGAGTATCATCAACGAAATCTCTTTTGCACATATCTTCTTCGCAACGGCCTCAGATTGAGAACATTTTGTCCTATCCTGTTTTATTTTGAAGGATCTATCTACCCCGTCTCAATATGCATTTCTCTCCTGCAGCCATTCTCTTCATCTCTGTCCTGGGTACACAAGCAGTACCCCTGGCCCTCCCCCGACAGGCAAACAACACCCTCGTGCGCAGACAGGAGGAACCCTATTCAGTTGTGAATGTTGGCGGCGCCAACATCAACGGAATCGAGACCAGCTCTGCGATCGAGACCGCGACCGAGACTGTGACCGCTCCCAGTATCCCTCAGGCTCCCGTGACCGTGACCGTGACTGATATGCCAACATCGACGTCGACACCAGTCATCACACCGTCTTCATGGGCTACACCGTCGTCCAGCTCCTGCATTCCATCATTGAGCAGTGTACCAGCTTGGCCGACGCCTTTGCCGGGGGACGACCATCCCGTCTACCCTCGGAGCTTCAACCTCACTCACAAATCTCCTCTGCCTCCTAAGAGCTTCCGGAGATCGCTCTCGAGCACCAACAGCACCGGCCCTCATGTTTTCAAAGCTCGCAGTGACAATGCAACTGAGACGGTGCCGATTTCAGCTCGCACATTGTTGAACGGCACAATCGCAGCTGGCAGCGGCCTCTTTGCGCGGGCTCTCAACCAGACAGGCCGTGTGTACTAGGCGATTTGCTGCCCACCTGCTCGTCCGCTCGAGGAAGACCAAAGGAGAACCCTGTACGAGTCTCTGTCGAAACAGTGGACTCTTCTCAAAGGCTGATATAATGACGAAAATGACTACTCGGATTGACGAATTTTCACTTGAATGTGTCCATTTGCGAATTCCGGACTTTGACGACTTGATGTGCCACGGTATATTTGAATGGACATACGACTTTCAGAGATGATCTCGGTTCATAGATTGTCCATTGTATTCATTTGGTTTCTGCATAAATAGGTATTTGTGAGATTGGATTTGTTACATAGATAGCGTCAATAGATAGAATGTGATCAACATAGGAGAATATCAACCACATTTCGGTTATGTTGTGCAAGTACTTGGAGAACGAGTCACTGGGCAATACGTCAGTACCTGCAGTGGATCAACTGCAGATGGGGAAGAGCGTTTTATATCTCGCATCGATTTTCCAAAGTATTGGGTTGAGATTAAAAAGTACTTGAAGATTTCTCAAGCAATCATTGAACTATCAACATCTGTAAATATATTCAGTTGATGTCTGGTGGATTCAGCCAAACATCTCAGAATAGCTCTGCCTAGCCATCCTCAGTCAGCGTTGGCAGCCTGAGGCGGAAAGAAGCTCGTGCGACCCGCAATAGCCTCTTGATCTTCTCCATTCACAAACACTTTCACGGGGCCAGTCATTCTGCGGTGGTCTCTTCTCTTTAAATGGACTGACTAACTCATCGGACTTTTTATAAACATCTATACAAGTACTTTATCCCCGCTACCGTCATTGAGGCTCCTCCTCCGCACCCCCTCGTCCTCTTCCTCGGCCAGGTGTTTACCGCCTGCATCCAGCCACGGAGACAGTCCCCTCATACACCTTTCGAGTCTAACCAGTCAATTCCGTCATGGCCAGTCCAGTATCCCCTCCTGAGGACCAAAGTCGCCTCCTCGAGGAGGCCCTGGGAGTGGTCCGACAGCAGTCGCATATGATGCGAAAATGCTTGGAGACTCCTGGGAAACTGATGGATGCGCTCAAATGCGGGTGAGTCGATAGAGGCTCCCCAGATATGAAGCGGAGTCCTAGAGCGACATGGCATAATTCTGCAATGGTAGAGCGTACAGATCAAGCTAACGGCGATCGTCAATTGCTCCAGGTCGACGTTGGTTTCCGAACTACGAACGCCCAGCTTGGGCCCCAAGCAATACTACGAATTGTACATGGCGGTTTTCGATGCGCTGCGCCATCTCTCCGTTTACCTGAAAGAGAACCATCCCGTCAACCATCTAGCTGATCTGTATGAGTTGGTCCAGTATGCAGGCAACATCATCCCGCGGCTCTACCTGATGATCACGGTCGGCACGGTGTACATGTCGGTGGAGGATGCCCCGGTCAAGGAGATCATGAAGGATATGATGGAGATGAGTCGAGGAGTGCAGCATCCCATCCGCGGGCTGTTCCTGCGATACTACCTGTCCGGACAGGCGAGGGATCATCTACCCATGGGCTCCGGGGACGGGCCCGAAGGCAACCTGCAGGACTCGATCAACTTCGTTTTGACCAATTTCGTGGAGATGAACAAGCTGTGGGTGCGGCTGCAGCACCAAGGTCCCTCGCGGGAAAGGGAAAAGAGGATGCAGGAGCGCCGCGAGCTGGAACTGCTGGTGGGCAGCAACATTGTCCGGCTTAGCCAATTGGTCGATCTCGAGCGCTACAAGTCGGGGATCTTGCAAGCGCTGCTGGAGCAGGTTGTCCAGTGCCGCGATGTCCTTGCGCAGGAGTACTTGCTGGAAGGTAGGAAATCTATGCTGGTGCTGTGTCTCTTGGGCAGTGAGCTCATGCTAAGTCGCTCTAGTGATCACCAAGGTCTTCCCCGATGAATTCCATCTCCATACGCTCGATCTCTTGCTCTCGGCTATTTCCCGTCTCAACCCGCACGTTGACCTGAAGAAGATCGTGATCGGACTCATGGATCGTCTATCGGCCTACGCGGCTCGGGAGACAGAATCCACCGCCGATCCGGAAACACGAAAGCAGAATGAAGAGGAAGCCCTCACGAAGTTCCTCGAAAATCTGAAGATCGCGGAGGAAACCAAGAAGGACGAGGCGGCAGCGACCCAAGAGGCTCCCACAGCCACAGCTCAGGAGAACGGCGTTGAACAGCCGTCACCCGAGCCGTCGAAGGAACCCTCGAAAGACACAATCGAACCAGAAGCAGAGCCCCCTAAAGGCGAGCAGATATCGAATGCAAACGGCGAGAGCGATGCCAAGCCTGGCGTCCCGGCGGATGTCAAGCTATACGCCATTTTCTATGACCAGGTGGTCAATCTGATCAAGACCCGGGGTTTGCCAATTCAAGATACCATGGCATTATTAGTGTCTCTTGTCAACCTGGCGCTGAATACCTACCCTGACAAGCTGGAGTACGTGGACCAGATCCTCGAATTCGCTACGCGTGAGACAGCTGAATACGCTGATCATGCGGATCTGCACGCGGCGCCGACCCAGCAAAATCTCCTTCATCTTCTCCTCGCTCCTCTTCGCTCTTACGTCTCGATCTTCACAGCGTTGGCATTGCCCAATTATCTCCCGCTCCTGACTTCTCAATCCTATCCCACACGACGATCTGTGGCGGGCGAAATCGCCCGGAGTCTGCTCAAGAACCGAACCCTGATCACGACAACAGAGAATCTCGACCGCGTCCTGGGGGCATTGAGAGTCCTGATCAAAGAAGGCTTGCAGCAGGCTGTCGGCTATCCTGGTTCCCAGCGACGAGGCGGAGAAACGGACGAGACCGTTGAAGAGCAAGGATGGCTCGCTCGGTTGGTACATCTGATACAAGCGCCGGAAAATGACGTTCAACTAAAGGTACGTTTCTCAGTGCTAGATTGAGATCGGTTCCACCGCTGACTGTTCATAGCTCCTTCAAGCCACCCGCAAAGCGTATGCCGACGGCAACGAACGCATCCGATACACAACACCGGCCATTATTACTGCATCCATTCGACTGGCGCGTAAACTCAAGTCTCGTGAACATTACGACGACAACTGGCAGTCACAGTCCTCCGCACTTTATAGGTTCATGCACCAGTGTGTAAACAACCTCTATCAACGCGCCAATCCTGGGTGCGCTGACCTGGCACTACGCCTGTTTGTGATGTGCGGCGAAGTGGCCGACCAGACAGGATTCGAAGAATTCAGCTACGAGTTCTTTGCTCAAGCATTCACCATTTACGAGGACTCCATCAGTGACTCGCGCGCCCAGTTCCAGGCTGTATGCATCATCGCAGGAGCGCTCCACGGCACCCGGGGTTTCTCCAAGGAGAATTACGACACCCTGATCACCAAGGCCGCGCTGCATGGAAGCAAACTGCTCAAGAAACCCGACCAGTGCCGTGCAGTGTACCTTGCAAGTCACCTGTGGTGGGTAGTCGAGAACCCCCAACGAGGCGAAGAGGACCCCAAGAACGTACGTCCACTCCCTCTCCCCTTTCCATCTTCATCGCAACTAATCTAGTCACTCAGCTCTACCGTGACGGCAAACGCGTCCTTGAATGCCTCCAGCGCGCCCTCCGCGTCGCAGACGCCTGCATGGACACCGCCGTCTCCGTTGAGCTTTTCGTCGAGATCCTCAACCGCTACGTCTACTACTTCGACCAGCAGAACGAAACCGTCACAACCAAGTACCTCAACGGCCTCATCGAGCTCATTCACTCCAACCTGCAAAGCAACGAGGATGAGCCGAATCCCAGCCTGGAGGGTCCCAAGCGCCACTTCCAGCGTACGCTGGAGTATATCCGCTCCAGAGACTACGAGGGCGTAGTCACGGACCCGAGACAGTGAATTGTCCCGGGCACCTTCGTGATTTTGGCACCGGAATGATTATATCATGTATGAATCGTGAAAGCGTGGTTATCTGTTTCTCTTCTGTATCCGTTTCGCCGTTTCCTGGCAGCTTTGATCAGTCGAAGCTTGTACTGAATGTGAATGTGAATGAATCCCGCGACGGTGTGTGTAGTGTAACATTTCCCCCTGGCTGGTTTGTTCTGTTCTGTTCTGTCAATATAGGTACAGCGTCGTTTTGACATGGCCTAGCCTTTCCTTTTTATCTTGTGCTAGGCGATTGAATGAATTGTCGCGGTAGACCGTCGAGCCCTATCAGAGTCCACTGTACGTTTACCTGGCGGTTACACACTGTGGGCAACTACAGCTATAGTTAAGATAGGAAATAATGACTTATCGATCGAAGCCGACCATGCAATTGTTTTGGCACGGAGGATATGTGTGCTCCATGGGAATCGCCGCATCATGCGCAATAGGACAATAGGACATACATAACATAAAACGCCCGTGGACGAAGAGGAAGATAAAAGAAAATCGACTCGGACAAACAAGAGGAGTATGAGAGAGACAAAGGTCCAAGACCCGAACAGAGTGAAGACGTGAGACATGACATGACGCTTGACAGACGCGGAAAGTGGTCATGAGAATGAAGATGATAATGGCGTATGATCAGTGAGTAGAGGAAAAGGAAAAGGAAAGGAAGAAAGGCATTTAGTCAGTTAATCGTCCAGAGCGCAGAAGTCCGATAATGATGATGATGATGATGAAAGTGGAAAACAAACATGAACCCCATTTACCGCCCCGTAGATGCTGGACCCAAACGCCATTAGAAACCCATTGGTGGAGAAGAATACTGGCGCAGCACTGATGGTGTACCAATGCCGCCAAACGCTGGCAGACTACTGCTCGGAACTGGGCTGCCAATCTCCCCAGGAACGATGCTGCCCCTGTGACCTGAGGTGGCACTGTTGTTGTCCGGCTCGAATTTGACAAACTCCCCCGTCTCGTCCTTTTTGGTCGAGAAGGTACCACCACCATTCTGTGTGTTGCCTTCCGTATCGCAAATGTCTAGCATCTCTTTCAAGGAGATCGAGGGCTCGTTTTGTGGCCTCAGCTGCTCAACCTGGTGAAGAACGAGGTTCACGTCATGATAGCC